TATTACCTGTCTTCACTAACTGCACACAATTTTTATTAGGCAAGTATTTTATCTTGTTCTTTTTATAGTTCCAGCACCTAAAAGAGTGCCTGATACACCATAGTGTTTTGAAAATATTGGGTGAATAAATAGTGAAGAAAAGAATAAGAAAATATTATTCTAGCTTCTTAAGATTCTCATCTGTCACAATGGAATCAATATTTATGTGCTTCACATGCTTTTTAAAAACAAAATTGAGATGGAGTCTTGCTCTGGAATGCAGTGGTGTGATCTTGGCTCACTGCACCCTCCCCCTCCTGGTTTCAAGCGATTCTCCTGCTTCAGCCTCCTGAGTAGCTGGGACTACAGGCGTGCACAACCATGCCCGGATAATTTTTGTATTTTGGGTAGAGACGGGGTTTCACCATGTTGGCCAGGCTGGTCTTTAACTCCTAACCTCAAGTAATACTTTCACCTTGGCCCCCCATAGTGCTGAGATTACAGGCCTGAGCCACTATGCCCCACCTTCATATGTCTTATTGTCCTTAAATTCTTTTTTCTCAGTTACATTCAGAAGTCTTACCAGAGAAAATAATGTGGCTTTTCACAAGTGGGAGAACCTCTCTGTTTACTCAGATTCCTCCTCTGTGGAGGATGGAGTGGGAGTGGAGAATGTATTACAGATGTGAGGTTCTCTCTTACGTTGAATAAGAAAAAAAAATACCTTTATCTAAGTACTGTATTAACGATTACATGAAGTATGGGTGGATGCATAGTTTTTTGTTTAGTGTAACATATTGTTAAATGTGTGTACAATCACTGTATAAATATAAAGTATTTTAATCATTGATATTCTCTGAGAGATATTTGCATTGTGGAAATTTTCCTGCATCTGTAAAAATGTATACTGCCAATATTAACCTTCTGATTTTGTTTTCAGCTGAGTTCAGTTTCACATGCTATGGACACTGTCAAAGATTACATGGAACAGTGGCAAGGAGACACTAGAAAAATATTTTCTGTCTCTCTGGCCCTGAGTTATTCGTGTTTCTTTGCAATGATCTATAACAACACTATGTTCCTGGTTTTATGAGTATGATTTTTTAGAAAATGGCAGCTCTCATGTTCGAATATGGCTAGTTTTCCATTTTATTTTAATTTAAGGTATATGGGGTTCATTTTATCATAACCTTGTATATTCTGTTAACACTTCATACGTTTTTATAAAGTGATACTCATAAAAGAGAGGCTTGAATCAATTCAAATTTGAAGGATAGGAAACAACTCCTGACAATGAAAGATTACAGGCTATAGTCACTGAAGGAATCCTCAACTCTTCCAAGAAACTGAGATTTGTTGCAGTTGAGGCCGAGTGGAGTAAGAATTTAGGGAGGACACCTTTAACTACCCCATAGGTTAGAAAAATGTAGATTACCTTTCCACCAGAGGCTCTTCTTAGTGTGCCTCAAGATACTGTCTTCCTATGCAATGACCAAAGACATGTACAAGAATGCCCGTAATATTATTAACAATAGTCAAATAATTTGAAACCATAGAATTATTCATTAACATTAGTATAGAAGAGCAACCACATATCTTTTAAATAAGATATTATGTAACAATTGAATTATATAAACTATAACTGCATACAACAAAGTAGATCTATCCCACAAATTGATCTTGGGAAGAAAATGGCAGCAGTGTAAAAATGCATATTATATGGTTTCATTTCAATAAAATTAAGCAAGAAAGACAAAAATAACTTTGATGTTAAATATCAAGATAACCATTGCCTCTGAGGAAGAAACAATGAGGAGTGATTAGAAGGCACAACTAGAAGGAACTACAGGAATGTGAGCAACTTGCCATTTCTCATTGCATTTTAAATTCAATGATTTTTAATTTCTGCAAATTATATATTTTTGTTAAATTTTATAGTCATTTTTCTATTTCAATGTTTCCTGTTTTAAATATATGTATCTTATCCCTTTTATTTTTAATTTTTTTAAATATTTTGAACTCATGCTGTGATTAAACAGACAAAAGTCATTGGCATCATAGAGTTCACAGGCTAGTCAGCAAATAAAAACAAAATCAAAATAAGGAATTGCATAGTGACAAACACAATAAAATACAGAACAGAGCTAGAGGGATTGTATGCCTCTTGGGAGGGTGTTTGTACATTTAATAAGATGATCCCAAAAGACTATACTGACATGTCTGGGCAAAGACCAGAATTGATCAAGGGAATGAACTTACAGATATCTGAACAAGACAGTCCAGGCAGATGGAACATCAACAGCAAAGCTGAGAACCAAAGTGGAGTGTGACCATTTGAGGATCAGAAAGCAAGCCACTGTGGCTAAATGAGAATGACAAGGGGTATAATGTTAGATGGCGAAGTCAGAGTTATAATGGGTGGCCAGTACAGGTAAGGCATTGAAGACTTTGGGTTTTTCTTCGGATGATGTGGAAAACCATTTGAGAGTTTTAAAAGGCTGATATGATCTATCCATCATTGAAAAACATCACTCTTGCTGCCCTGCTGAGAACTGATTCAAGGATGAAAAAGGCAAGGACAGAAGTATGAAGTCCTGAGGACTATTACAATAATCCAGAAGAGAGGGGATGCTGAGTTAGACCTGGAAGATGGAAGCTGGATAGATACAGATTATCAAATTCTGGGTTTATTTTGAAGGCCAAACTGGAAATATTTGCCAAAAAATTGGATTTGGGGTATGAAAGTAAAAGAAGAGTCAGGGATAAATCTATTTATTAATACCTGTTCAACTGGATTTGCTGTCATTAATGAAATAAGAGCCATATCAAAAAGTATGACTGGGCGTGGTGACTCACGCCTGTAATCCCAGTACTTTGGGAGGCCAAGGTGTGCGGATCACCTGATGTCGGCAGTTCAAGACCAGCCTGACCAACATGGAGAAACCCTCTCTCTACTAAAAATACAAAAAATTAGCTGGGCACAGTGGCTTGTGCCTTAATCACCGCTACTCGGGAGGCTGAGGTAGGAGAATCGCTTGAACTAGGGAGGTGGAGGCTGCTGTGAGCCGAGATGGCGCCATTGCACTCCAGCATGAGCAACAAGAGTGAAAATCCATCTAAAAAAAAAAAGAAAAGAGGAAGTTCAGGGGGAGATACATAGGGGTTTCAAGATGCCACTGATATACTCAATTCAAGGGACAGGTAGATGTGAAGCAGCTCACATAACAGGCTGAGTAATAGAGTCACTGAGCTCAGGGAAAATTAGGTAGATAAAGTACTTCAATAAAGAATAATTGATAATCCAGATTATATGTTCCAAATACATCCATCATAGTTAATATTCTGTGCCAGGTATTGCTTACAAATATTAAGATAAAATAGTCACCACTTGTTTGAGAATCCAGGACAACAATGTCCTCAAGGGAGAGGCATATTTTCATAAGAGCAAGATAGTAAAAGGAATTTTCTGAGAAAGCATTGAGATACAGAACATTTGATAGTAATAGATCACAAATTCCTAAAAAAAAAAAAAGGCCCAGAAGAAGGATAAGATTTAGTAATGTGTACGAGAGTCATGGGTTTTTCTTGAAGACTGACCAAGCAGGGATAAAGGGACTGCTGAAATGAAGCCTTCAGCTTCCTCTTCACTCCTGCCAATACTGATGCAAAAGCTGGACCTTGGTGGTGGGAGACGTATCAAAAGTGTACGATTTTCTATTGCCTCATCTCCCCTGTTTATGCTCATGTAGAATTGTTTCCCATATTTGCATTGTTTCCTTTACCTCGGGATCTCTAATACCTTTGTTGCTTTTCCTTTTGATCATCCTCTTCAACCTTGCTCAAATGTCTCTTCCTCTGGAAAAACTCCTCTCAATCCATCAGACTTGCTGCATCAGAGCTATTTTTTCTCTTTCCCATGAGACTGTTATCTACTGGATATACTTTAAAAAAATGTATGCTTCATCTTTACATTACCAATACTGGGTACATAATAGTTTACTTTTTGAATGAAAGACAAATAATTTGTAGTAGTCTAAATTTAAAAGAACATACTTGAGTTTTTAATGAGACCATTGCAAATGCATAGGAGTGAATCTCTCTGATTATGTAACTTTGCTATTAACGAGCTTAAATATTGGTACATAAAGGCTTTCTAAATAAGAATCAAGTATTTAAAAATATGTAAAAAAAAAGTTTAAAATATCACAATGAAATGAGCGTTGCACAAGATACTAGTTTACACATAGATTTTATGCTCCTTTTAGAATAAAAAGTAGAATAAATAATGGCTAATCTTAAGGCTTTAGGCAAGGTTAGCAGGGAAATCAGAAAAGATAGAAAAAAAAAATTCTTATGTGTTTTCTATCATCAATGGCAAGAAAGAGAGACAGGAGTTGACAGAAGGAGAGAATCACCTTCAAACTGAAAAATCAAATCATTAAATAAAGGAAATTTGAGCCCAAGACAAATACAGACACTTAAAAAACCATTGACTCTAATAAAATAAGGCCAAAACACGGCCAGACGCAGTGGCTTATGTCTGTAATCCAGGACTTTGGGAGGCCGAGGTGGGTGGGTCACGAGGTCAGGAGTTCAAGACCAACCTGGCCAACATGGTGAAGCCCCATCTCTACTAAAAATATAAAAACTAGCTCGGTGTGGTGGCGTGTGCCTATAGTCCCAGTTACTAGGGAGGCTGAGGCAGGAGAATCACTTGATCCCGGGAGGCAGAGGTTGCAGTGAGCCAAGATTGTGTGCTACTGCCCTCCAGCCTGGGCAACAAAGACTCTGTCTCAAAACAACAACAACAACAATAATAATAATACAAAATAAAATAAGGCCAAAACACTTAGTCTAGACATTTGGTGTTCAAGGATATTAACATATCCTCCTTAAGCATTTATATGTATATAGTGATTTACTATTATCCATATCCTGTATTTATTTCAAATACTATACCATACCCCATACCTTTGTCTATATAATTGTCTGAGAAATGTATTCTTATTTCCATTCTACAGATGAAAACAGCATGTACCTGACTTATCTAAAGACCTGGATGAGTTAAGAAGTGGACTCAGGACTTAAAGACAGATGTTTTGAATTCAGAGTTCTTTCTCCAGCAAAAGAGAACCTGCAAGTGTATGTTAAGAAACACTTTGGAGAAATAATAGCTCTTCGAGAAATAACAAAAAATGGGAGGGACACAAGTATACTTGAGTCAGTTTCCGTACTAATGTTCAAAAAGATGAACTGGTATGTAATGAAATTAAGCATCTGAAACTGGGAAGTTTGATGTTAAATCCTTCTAAAACTCAAAAAGCACAGGTAAATACTTGCTTGGAGGGCATTAGAAAAGAATGTTCAAGCAAAATTTCCTAATGCTGGTGAAATATAAGTATAATATAACATAAACTCAATATTGTCTTTCATTTTTGTAATTTTATATACATATATTTTTTTTCTGCATGAGGCAGGGATATCACAGATTACATGACTGTTGGAAGATATTTAATCATTTTACTCAAAAAAGTTTGTGGATAATACGAAACAGGTTAAACCTTCATTCCTAGGGTGTACTGAGTAATGAAACAAACACAATCTGTAGAAAGCACTCATAGAATATGCCTGAAGTGTCTATTTCTGCACCTATTTCTTAAGCCTGGAACACATCAGAGCATAACTTACCTCCTTAATAAGATCCTGACATTTTTCTGAAGAGCAGAAACTGATTTTCATATGAATTTGATAGTTAGGATTGATTGATCTTTTACAATTAACAATATTTGGGCAAACTCAAGTGACTGGAATAATCAACCTAAATTACATCAAAGCTGATTTGGACATAGCTGCATTTCTAGGCACACTATTATTCTTCCCCCATGTTATAATTAAATAATTAAAATTATTCCCTTTTTCTTCAAAATGATAAATGACAAAAATAAGGGGAAAGAAAGGAAAAACAGTAGAAATCAACCTTCCATTTTTCAGTGTGACAGACTCTTGGCACAGGCACAGCTGCTGCTTCTGGCAAAGCCTATTACAAATGCAAGTAAACTCATTTTTCCCTACAAATAATATTTTCATTAATTTCACAGTGTTTCAGAAATAAATCACATTGCAGTAGATCCTTTGGAGCTTCAAAGAAATAAAACTGGCTTTCTTAAACATCAAGTTAAATTATCGACCACAGCAAGGTATGTTGAGCATTAGTTTTTATTTCATTATAAATTATTGTTTTTCCTTATTTCCTTATAAAAGTGATTTTATTATTACACTTGTCATAATCACTTATAATTATCATCTCATTTCTTATAGTTTTTGTCAGAGTAAGAAAATTGGGTGAGGCAGCAAAACTGACCATTTTAAATTCAATAAAGATGCCATATCTGTTCACATGATATCTCTCTATAAAATTCAAAATATTAATATGTCAGAGGAAAGAAAATGGGTTCTGAAAGCAGAGAGGTGTTTTAATCAGCATTCTCCAGAGAAACAAAATCAATAGGATGGATGGATGGATGGATGGATGGATGGATACATACATACATACATACATACATACATACATATTTACCATGACAAACTGGCTCACATAATTATGAATGCAGTGAAGTCTCATGACCTGCTGTCTCCAAACTGACAGCACAGGAAAGCTGGAGGTATAGCTACAGTACAAACCAGAAGGTCTGAGAACCAGGATCCTGATCATACATCCCCACCCAAGTCTGAAGGTCCTAAAGCAACAGCACCAACGTCTGAAAACAAGACAAGATGAACATCCCAGTTCAAGCAGAAAGCAATTTTGCACTATTCAAGCCCTCAAATGATTGTATTATGCCTACCACCATTGGTGAGGGTAATCTTCCTTATTCAATCTATCAATTCAAATATTATTCTCTTCCAAAAACACCCTCACAAACACACCTGGAATAATGCTTTCCCAATTATCCAAGCATACTAAGCTTGGTCATGTTGACATATAAAATTCATCATCTCGAGGTCAAGTACAAATTCTTGTTCCACTGTTTGTGTGACTTTTGGCAAGTTACATAATCTGTTTTAATCCTCTTACATTTTAAGAGGAAGAAAAGAGAAGGAAGGACAGAACAAAAAAAATACAATTATCGATATATTTGTGTTATGCCACTTGGATATTGAAATAGTGCCCATCTATTTGTTCAGTTTTTATTTTTGTTTTTTACTGTGAAGTAGTATATAAAATCATTTCTTGAGAAAGATTTATTGGAAGTTTGATGATACTTCAGGATGATACTTCAGGATGATTTAACACTTGTGAAAAGTGAAAAATAAAAATATTCAGGCAAATATACTTGTTCACTGGGATCAATGGTCCTGTTAAGATTGCTAAGAATCTGTAGTTGTAAATATGCTCAATTAAGTGTATAGATGTTAAATCATAATATATGTTAAATATTTTCATAGTATTTATATTGTATCATAAATACTCAACAGGCCAATTGTGGACAAGACAATGTAGGTAGTTGGATTATCCAGGATTAGGGTTTTGTTATGTAATGTGGTGAAAGGATAAAAGGGCAAGTGAGTTTGAAATTTTGACAAGAGAGTGAGTGACAACATCATGGTCAGTGTATCAGAAGAACTGTGGAGATAGTAAAAGAAATCGATAAAATACTGACCCACATAAATTTCATGTAATTTGGAATGGGCATAAGTTCAGCAAGAAACTCAGAAAAAAAGTAGAAATGTAAGGTCACAGAGCAAAAAAAAAAAAAAAAAAATTAGGGAATTTTTTTTTTTTTTTTTTTTGGTGGGGAAGCATATCAATGAGGCTCATGAATTCAGTGACAGGCTAAAGAGAAACTACATCATAAATGGTAGATAGCAATTGGTCACAAGTCATGCAAGTGTTCAAATACGAGTGAACTCTAGCAATAAGCATCACTTTTAAGATGCATTACTGTAAGTTTTTAAAAACAGACTTGAGTACTGTGTGTCTTTATTGAGTATAGGTTTTGAGGTCAAAAATAACTAAGTTGATGTATATCTCTGACACTTTCTTGTTTCTTGCTTTGAAAACTCCAGGAAATTGCATGTTTTCTCTCAACCTCAGTGTCCTCATGTCCAAAGTGAAGGTAGCGATGGGGGAAGATGTAGGCAGATTAGGTTACATCCCCTAGGTCATATATCACATAAGTGGGTAAAGACTATAAGCCTAGATTTTCTAAATTCAAATTAATTGTGCTTTTCATTATATCACAATAACCTATGGTTAAATATCTAGAAAAAGCAATAAAGAATTCACAATTCATTTACTGGGTTTGGGGAATTCAGACAAGATTTATGTTAGTGCTTATCTCTACCAGCTGTCTTTAAATCACAAGGATAAACATAGGCAACAGTTTGCTTGCATTTTCCATTTTGGTTACTTAAAACATATTGCAAGAAGTTTCTGCACCTAGGTTTAAAGCACAGTTTAGTTGGTGGCAAAGACTAACTGTTCTCTGCAAAAAAATCTAAACAAGCACTAGACATTTCTTCAGTTTTCAATCAACTGTGCTACATGTTTAAAATATAGTTAAAGCAACAGCAAAACTAGAAAGATGGCAGAATGCAAAGGAGCATATAGGCAGGGCCACTTTGCAGCCAGAAAAGGAAGCAGATGGAGAATCATATAAGTAGGAAAAATTAGAGTCAGGCAGAGAAGGCAGCAGAGCCGACATGGTGAGAGCAACACCAGTGAAGAACACAGGCAGATTGCTAAGCTTCACTGCTGCCGCAGCAACAAGACATCAGACACAAGTCATGTGGGAAGAATTTCTATCTGGACATTTTAAACCACATAGATAGGGAAAGACTACGAATATACTAATTGAAGAGTCACTGCACAACACCTGTTTTACATCTTCGAAACTGAAGTTTTTCCCTTCCTGATACTCAATGAACAAAGCTCAAATGCCTCACTCTAGCTCCTTGTTAAGTATCTAAAATAAATTTAGATGTTGGCAAAATGACATAACTCCGAAGATCTGCACCATCCCTGTTTATCCCAATATACCTTATACATACTTTCTGAATTGTTGTAGGAATTTTTTCACTATGCTCTAAAAATATACATATCAACCAATTAAATTTTCCTTAAGATTAGTGAACAAAAATTAAAGACAAAAACATCAATAGATATTTGCAGGTATATTAACTGAATTGTCATGTAAATAACTTTTTCAGTTGGTGAAATGAAAGCTTAGAAGATTATATTTAATCTTCTACAATATTTAATCTTGTATTAATACAAGATTTAATATAATCTTCTAAACTTTCATTTCAACAACTGGAAAAGTATCCAGTAAAATGAAAGTAACCCAAGTCACACTGATTTGAAGGACTAAAGACATCATGATTATAATCATCTTCATCATCATCATCTAAAGCAAATTCCAAATGCAAGTACAGATTCTGTCTCTGCCTCACACACTGTAGAGCACATTGTTATCTGTCTAATTTCCTTGTCAAAAATATAGATAGAAATGGATTCTCTCTCTACACAGAATATGACACCAAAAAATGCCTTCTAAGATTTTCCAACTGAATTGGGTAACATGTGGGATGATTTCTTCTCTGACTCCATTGAATATAGAACTGAAGTTTCTGCTTATCTAGTGAACACTAAAAGCCAGAGCAAAGTATCCCCTCGTGGCTTGTTATATTGTTCTACAGAGTCTATTCCACTATGGTGACATAAATGTTCATTTCTAGTAATATTGATTTTTCTAGCTCATTTTGCTAATTACAGAGTGAGTTAACTATGACAAAGCACAATTTTGCATTTGTCAACTGATAAGCAACCAAATTTGAACTTTGTTGAGGCCAAGAGAGAAGAAAGAATATTATATATTGATTTTGGTTTTTTTGCTAAACACTATAATACTTCCTTCTCTAAAGCCCAAATCACTATAAAACACCAATTTAATACCTCTTTAAATCTTGCCATTTTGGTTGTTTACAGCTAACAGCAATTCAGCAATTGTTTTGCCTAATTTACACAGAAAGTGAGATAATCGACTTTAAAGTCTGAATTTTGGGTTATATTCATGTATAAACAAATTTACACTTAAAACCATCTCTGTGTGCTTTTTACAACTTGTCACAGTGGAAGAGTCAGCCTTGTTCTAACAATTTTTAAACCTAATTTAATATTTTCTATATAATTTATGCTGTCTCTTATGTATCTTAAAATTTATCTTTTGTTCATATATATTTCAGTTTATAAATATGACCAAAGCATCCTTATCTCAAATCAATATCCACCTTCAAAACTCACCTTGACATATAGTAAAATAAACAATAACTTCCAGTTGAGAAAAGAGAATGTTACTAGAATAGTAATTGACAACCAAGAAATAATCCCCAATAAAATTTTTGCATTTATATTTAAAAT